GTAAAGTGAGGAGTGTGAAGTGTGGAGTGAGGAGTGTGGAGTGTAAAGTGAGCAGTGTAAAGTGTGGAGTGAGGAGTGTGGAGTTTGTAAATTGTAGAGTGTGAAGTGTAGAGTGTGAAGTGTAGAGTGTAAAGTGTAGAGTGTGGAGTGGAGTGTGGTGTGTAGAGTGTGGAGTGTGGAGTGTAAAGTGTGGAGTGTAGAGTGTGGAGTGTGGAGTGTAAAGTGTAGAGTGTGGAGTGTAAAGTGTGGAGTGTACTGTGGAGTGTGGAGTGGAAAGTGTGGAGTGTGGAGTGTGGAGTGTGGAATGTAAAGTGGGGAGTGTGAAGTGGGGAGTGTGGAGTGTGGAGTGTAAAGTGTAGAGTGTGGAGTGTGAAATGTGGAGTGGAAAGTGTAAAGTGTGGTGTGTAGAGTGTGGAGTGTGTTCAAACAGGTTGGAATGTCACAAAGTGCCACGCCTGCCACGCAAAACGACATGACAACCTGCTTGGACACATTCGACTAGGAGATGTTTTCCAGCTTCCCCCATAGACACGGCGACGCCACAGGAAAACCAGCGACTCGAGACAAGACACGTGGATGCAGAAAAACCGGCATTTCGTACGAGACTTCCTCCAATTTTGACATTTGAGACACATTATCAAACAGGTTGGAATGTCACAAAGTGCCACGCCTGCCACGCAAAACGACATGACAACCTGCTTGGACACATTCGAATAAAAGAGGTTTTGCGGCTTCCCCCATAGACACGGCGACGCCACAGAAAAACAAGCGACTCGAGACAAGACACGTGGATGCAGAAAAACCGGCATTTCGCACGAGACTTCCTCCAATTTTCACAGTTGGCAACATGACAAAAAGACAAGTTTTGCAGCTTCCCCCATAGACACGGCGAGGCCACGGGAAAACCAGACACGCGAGAAGAGACAGGTGGGAGCACCAAAAACGAGCATTTCGTGCGAGACTTCCTCCAATTTTCACACTTTGCAGCTTCAAAATCGACGTTTTCCTACGAGTTTTCCTTAGAACCCGAAAATTGGCAACATCAAAATCGATGGTTCGTGCGACGCTTCCGTCAATTTTCAGCACATGTCACAAAATGCCACGCCTGCCATGGAATTTGCACCTTGTCACCACTTGGCGCAGCCCTGCCAATGCGATTTGCAGAAAACACGCAACAGGACACGTCTAAAGTGCTGCGCCTGCCACGAAAAATGACGATGGACACGTCCAAAGTGCTGCGCCTGCCACGAAAATAACTGCAACACATCTTCTGAAAACGTCACAAAAGTATTGCGCCTGCCACGCAAAACGATTTTCAACACGTTGCAAAACACGTCTGAATGTCACGAAGTGCCACAGTGTCACACCTGCCACGCGAAACGAAGCAACGACACGTCTGAAACCTCCAAAAATGACCACCTCTGCAGAACTTCCCATAGGCACGGCCATATGGTCCTCGTGCGGACGGTTGCGAACGGTTGCGAACGGTTGCGATCGTGAACGCAACGTCGAGCGAACACACCCTCAACCCCCAGACCCCCAGAGTGAAACGGGAACCCTTGCTACGCATTCGGGAAAAACGGTCGGATGGGTATTTTACAGGGCATCGCCCATGGCTCAAATCGGATGTTGTGGCTCAAGATGGCTCAAGGCTCGGAACACTTAGTAAAAAGTAGGTGGCAGGCGTGGCACTTGTGTGACAGGTTCATCTCTCTTACGCTCGGTTTTTGACACCTGGTCGGATTTTGGATGGGACAGAATGGTGGTTGGGATGGAATGGATGGAAGGGCTGGGCTGGTGCGTGCCTCTCAAAGATAATTAATTGGTTTTTGGTTGTGAAGTTTTTTAACAAGGAAGTGTTTTAACATGTTGGTCAATGTTGGTCATGTGTTTCATAATGGTGTTTGTGGTCATCATGTTGCGTATGATATATTTCCATATTGTTTTTTTTTCGGGGGGCCAGGGCGGACCAATAATTCATCAACTTGGTTAAGAAACAAGGGTTTAGGATATCTTGATGGACTTAATGAACCTGATGTAACTTAGATTTAGATAATATGTTCTGACATATCTATGTTGTATGTTTCCGGCCAAATTTGCCATGGTCTATTGATCATTTTCCAGCCGGGTGCTGACACTGACGTTTGGCATGATGTTTTTTTTAATTTGTTTGGGCCCGTTGACGGTTGGTTCCTCACAGGTCCAAACTCAAAAATGGAAACAGTTGCAGCTGGCAACAAATCACGTTTGGAACAGAATGCTGGATTTTTTAGTGGCAAGATGTTGGGAAAGAGTCCAGTCTTTTGACTGGGCTATGCATTTTTTTTGGTGAGGCTGACGGTGACGGTGGGGTTTGGGCCTGTTGACGGTTGGTTCCTCACAGGTCCAAACTCAAAAATGGAAAGAGTCAGTGCAAGCTGGCAACAAATCACGTTTGGAACAGAATGCTGGATTTTTTTTCGTGGCAAGAGGTTGGGAAAGAGTCCAGTCTTTTGACTGGGCTATGCTTTTTTTTTGTGAGCCTGACGGTGACGGTGGGGTTTGGGCCTGTTGACGGTTGGTTCCTCACAGGTCCAAACTCCAAATTGGAAAGATTCAGTGCAAGCTGGCAACAAATCACGTTTGGAACAGAATGCTGGATTTTTTTTAGTGGCAAGAGGTTGGGAAAGAGTCCAATCTTTTGACTGGGCTATGCATTTTTGTTTGGTGAGGCTGACGGTGGGACCCTACAGATAATTTGCATGTGTTTTTTGGATTCCTTTGGGCCTGTTGACGGTGGGTTCCTCACAGGTCCCAAAATCAAAATTGAGAAGAAACCATTTTTTTTAAAGGACAGAGCGCAGTACTGTACCATGAATATCATACTCCATGCGCACCTGCACAGAACACGCACCACGCATATCATTTTCAAATTGGTTCTACAATCAAGATAACTCAGACTCAGTCACCACGGCTTCAATTTTTAGATTGACCAACTCCCCCCTGGTGACCCTTTCCAGGAAGCATTCGCAGTGGTGGAGGAGCAGATGAAGAAGACTAAGAAGAGGCAGAGGGCTAGTGGGTGGAAGCCTAAGTGGCGTGGCAACGTCGGAAGGGGCAAGCAGCCAGCTCCACCGCCCGGTCTGGAGGACAGGGTTTTGTAAAAAAAAAAAGGGAATCGTTTTGGTTTCAAGTCGGTAGTGCCGTGTGCAGGTGTGTTGTTACAAGTTGTGAGCGGCGGGTAGTCAAGTCACACTCCTGCAACAGAGTGGTATCAAAAGATGCGCTGGTGCACTTGCATGTACCAAGAATAAATACAAACTATGAGTAAAAGGGTCAATGTTACCGACTAGCAAAAGAATTCACAAGGCAATCCTCTACCATATTCCCCGGTGCATCTTGGCATTCCTTGTTTGTTCCACCCACAACATGTTGCTTGATTCATGTTGAAGCTCATTTTTTTTTTAATATATATATATATATATATTTTTTGAAAAAAATATATATATATTTTTTGAAAAAATATCTATATATATATATATTGATTAGGCATTGTTTGACCAGACAAAGACTATTACCACCTTGGGGAGCATGGTTTTTGTGGGGTCAGGAGCCCTGAAAGCACCACACTTTCATTCCAAATTCATGGATTTCCTGGTTTTTTGGGGGTCAGGAAGTGCCAAAAGCTGAAGCGTTGGTGCCAGTGTGGAGAACTGCTTTTGCATCAGCAGGATCAGTTCTCCAAACTGGCACCAACGTTTCAGAATTTGGCAGTCGAGGGCATCCTGATCTTGCATCCAAATGCTCTATGCTGGTGACGGTTGGTACCTCCCAGCCAATCTCGATGGCGTTGCATTTTTTAAAATTTGTAATTAAGCCACATGCCATGATCATGGGGTGGATCCGGTGCGGCTGAGGCATCATCATGTTGAGTGGGGTAAAAGTTCAGCTGTGATGCGCCATTTTGCTGTGATTGTTGATGTGCCTTTTAAATTTAGCATTGCCAGTTTTTCAGTTAACATCATTCCCCTGCAAGTGCTCCGTCACCCTGTTAACATCAGTCCACGCATTGCCAGACCGGTCCGGAATTTTCAAAATTCCCGTGCAAGTGGTCCGTCACCCAGTTAACATCAGTCCACGCATCACCAGACCGGTCCGGAAGTTGTCCGCGATAGTTTGAAATACTCTCTTTGGTCGGTACTTCGTACACCCTCACAAAAAAAAAAAACCGCTGAAGTCTGCGCGTAGGACCCCTGCGTTTTTTACACCCCCCTTACGCATTGCCAGACCGGCCCTGAGGCGCGTAAGGGGGGTGTAAGAAATGCGTAAGGGGGGTGCGGAACAACGTACGCTGACTCCACACCCCCCTTACGCATTTTTTACACCCTCCTTACGCATTGCCAGACCGGCCCTGAGGCGCGTAAGGGGGGTGTAAAAAACACAGGGGTCCTACGCAGGGACTTCAGCGGCAAGACTCTTTTCTTGAGGGTAGGGAGCCGTACACCCTAATACTACTTTAGTAAAGAAACATACAACGCTAACCCTGAGCATCCGATATTGATTACAATCAATATTTTTTCCAAAAAAAATATCGATATTGATTTTACTAAAAAATCAAAATAAATATCAATATAAAACTAATGCTTTTGAAGCTTCAAAATCAATATAAAAAGTTGGACCAAATGCCTCTTTCTATTGATATCCACTTTGATTTTTATACTCATTTTCCTCTATTTTTATATTGATTTTGAAGCCTCCAAAATCAATATTTTATATTGATTTTGAAGCCTCCAAAATCAATATTTTATATTGATTTTGTGGTTGGTTTTTGACATGGTTTTGGAGTCTGGGAATGTGTTTGTCTCTACCCTGCCCCTTGCAAAAGGGTAGCCCTTGCAAAAGGGTGTTCCTTGTATTTCCTTTAGTGCCATGTTTGTTGTCCATATGTTTTTGTCTCTTTTCCTATGCTATGCTAAAGCAAACAAAACATGTTTAGTTGTTCAAACAAGCAAACTAAACACATGAACATGTCCTGCCTGCAGCCATTTTTGGTTCTGAGCCTAGCAGCTATGAGTAGGAAGAAGGAGAAGGAAGATGTGGACATGGAGGAGGAGGAAGAAGAGGAGGAGTGGGAGGAGGATGAGCCTTGGAGAAATTCCAAGGGAAGGAAGACTGGTGGGGGCACCACCTCTTGGGCTAGGCAAGCCAGAAGAGCTGCCAAGCAAGCCAAGAGGGTGGTGATGTCCACTGGCAAGCCCCTTGAAAAAGGGGAGGAAGCCCTTGCAAAAGGGAAACCCCTTGAGAAAGGGAACAAAGCCCTTGCAAAAGGGACACCCCTTGAGAAAGGGAAAGCCCTTGCAAAAGGGCAAAATGAAGCCAGGTTCCAGGAGCTGAAGGACAAGCTGGTTAAGAGCCTCAAAAAGGGGAAGCTTGGTCCCAGGCTGGAAACTGGCACACCCCTTGAGAAAGGGACAGGTGCAAGCAGCAGCAATGCTGCACCCCTTGAAAAAGGGAAAAAAAACCTCTTGAAAAAGAAGAGGCAACAGCCCTTGAAAAAGGGCAATTCCTTGAAAAAGGAAATGTTGCCAAAAAGGTGGCAGTTCTGGAGTCAAAGACTGCCACCAACAAGCAGGCAAAATCCCTTGCAAAAGGGAAGGAGACTGCAGCCCTTGAAAAAGGGTCAGAAAAGAAGCAGCCTCCTGAAGCCCAATCAGAACCTTTGGCTGTGTTGGTTGATTGGCACCATTGCCTGAAAAATGGTCCCCAGGACACTGTGCTGGTCCAGGACCTCATGGCCCTGCAGAAGCTCCTTGACAAAGGGGTGGAGGTGCATGTGCTCTCCTTCTGTGGGGCCAAGCAGGTTCCCAAAATTGAAAAGGAAATCTGGGACAAGCTCCCAGATCTCATTGACCAACTTCACTGGTGGGGATGCTGCACCAGTCGCACTGGGGTGGGGGGCAAGGCAAAGTATGCCACAGAGTGGGGCTGCCAGGTGGCCTTTGATGATTCAATGGACATCTTGCAAGAGCTGGGCTCATGGGGTGTCAAAACCTATGGCATCCAGACACCCAGAGAGAGCCATGCATGGATGCCAGAAAACTCCAGGTTTGCATCCTTTGCAGATGCAGTGAAGCAGCTCATCAGGGATTACAATCTTTGAGACTGCTTCCAGCCCTTGCAAAAGGGTGCTCTGCAAAACCCTTGAAAAAGGGTATGGCTCTCACATGGCAACCCTTGAAAAAGGGTAGGTGTCTAGCCCCAATCCTTGCAAAAGGATAACCCTTGAAAAAGGGTAAAGTGTCCCCACCCCCAAGGATAACCCTTGAAAAAGGGTAGGTGACTGGCCCCAATCCTTGCAAAAGGATACCCCTTGAAAAAGGGATGTCTCACCCCAAGCCTTGCAAAAGGATACCCCTTGAACTAGACGACGGTTGGCCCGAGAGCGAAAAAGATGTGTTTCAAGCAGCTCTGAGTATGGTAGTCGTAAAAAATAGTCGGTGATAGGTTGGTGAATTTTATATGAGCTATGGAGGGGTAAGTTGTGAAAAGTAAGATTGATTAAGAAGAGGATACATGTGACAACCCATGCATATGCACTGTGCTGCTTGGTAAAGGGCATCATATGACACGTGTCTTGCAACCACAGAGAGACATAGATAGAGAGAAAGGGAGAGAGAGAGAGAGAGAGAGAGAGAGAGAGAGAGAGAGAGAGAGAAAGAGAAGAGGGAGAGAGAGAGAGAGAGCAGGGTCTTCTGTTGTTAGTATTGAGACACTATATTGCAAGACAATATATTAAAGATGTATTTTAGGCAGGCGAGACAAGTAGTATCAAGACAATATATTACAAGTACAAAACACTGGTTTGCATCCTATCCTTCGTATTGTTTTTCACACGCAGACGCTTTTGCACACAGACGCTTTTACACACAGACGCATTTACACACAGACGCTTTACACACAGAAGCGTTTACACACAGACGCTTTTCCACACAGAAGCTTTTACACACAGAAGGTTTTACACGCAGACACTAGACACTTTTACACACATAGGCTTTTACACACAGACGCCTTTACACACAGACACTAGACACTTTTACACGCATAGGCTTTTACACACAGACGCTTTTACACGCAGATGTTTTTAGACACACACACTTTCACACACCAGCTGTTACACACAGAAGCTTTTACACACAAACACTTTCACACACAGAGGCTTTTACACAGAGGCTTTTACACACAGACGCTTTTACACACAGAAGCTTTTACACACAGACTCCTTTACACACAGACGCTTTTACACACAAACACTTTCACAGACGCGTTTACACACAGACACTTTTACACACAGACGCTTTTACACACAGACACTTTTACACGCAGACGCTTTTATACACAGGCGCTTTTACAGGCAGATGCTTTTACACACAAACACTTTCACAGTCGCTTTTACACACAGACACTTTTACACACAGACGCTTTTACACACAGACACTTTTACACGCAGACGCTTTTACACACAGGCGCTTTTACACGCAAGTGCTTTTACGCACAGAAGCTTTTACACACAGACACTTTTACACACAAACGCTTTTACACACAGACCCTTTTACACACAGACCCTTTTACACACAGACGCTTTTACACACAACAGTTTCACACACAGAGGCTTTTACACACAGAAGCTTTTACACACAGAGGCTTTTAACACAGAGGCTTTTACACACAGAGGCTTTTACACACAGACTTTTACACACAGGGCTTTTACACACAGAAGCTTTACACACAGATACTTTTACACACAGAACGCTTTTACACACAGAACGCTTTTACACACAGACACACACAGACGCTTTTACACACAGAAGAAGAAGCTTTTACACCACAGACTCCTTCTTTACACACAGACACTTTTACACAAAGACGCTTTTACACACAGACACTTTTACACGCAGACGCTTTTACACACAGGCGCTTTTACACGCAAGTGCTTTTACGCACAGAAGCTTTTACACACAGACACTTTTACACACAAACGCTTTTACACACAGACCCTTTTACACACAGACCCTTTTACACACAGACGCTTTTACACACAGGCACTTTTACACAAACGAAAGCGTCCATCGCAATTTTACCTCAGTTTTTAACGTCCAACGTCCATTTCGTGCGTAAGGGTTGCGAATAACAAAGTAAAGTCGCAATTTTTCCCCAGTTTTTGACGTCCAACGTCCATTTCGTGCGTAAGGGTTGCGATTGACAAACTAAAGTCGCAATTTTTCCTCAGTTTTTGAAGTCCAACGTCCATTTCGTGTGTAAGGGTTGCGATTGACAACTCAAAGTCGCAATTTTTCCTCAGTTTTTGACGTCCAACGTCCATTTCGTGCGAAAGGGTTGCGCGCGACACCTCAAAGTTGCAATTTTTCCTCAGTTTTTGACGTCCAACGTCCATTTCGTGCGAAAGGGTTGCGCGCGACACCTCAAAGTTGCAATTTTTCCTCAGTTTTTGACGTCCAACGTCCATTTCCTGCGAAAGGGTTGCGCGGGACGCTTCAAAGTCGCAACTTTTCCTCAGTTTTTGGCGTCCAACGTCCATTTCGTGCGAAAGGGTTGCAATGGACAAAGTAAAATCGCAATTTTTCCTCAGTTTTTGGCGTCCAACGTCCATTTCGTGCGAAAGGGTTGCGTTTCGTGGCGCTCCAGCGGCACCGCCCCCGCCTTAAGAGAGAATAGAAGAAGAGCGAGAGGAGATCTGCAGATGTGAAGGTGTGAAGATGTAGATCGGCAGATGTGAGAGTGTGAAGATCTAGATCTGCAGGTGTGAGGGTGTGAAGATCTAGATCTGCAGGTGTGAGGGTATGAAGATCTAGATCTGCAGATGTGAGGGTGTGAAGATCTAGATCTGCAGATGTGAAGGTGTGAAGATCTAGATCGGCAGATGTGAGGGTGTGAAGATGTAGATCTGCAGATGTGAGGGTGTGAAGATCTAGATCTGCAGGTGTGAGGGTGTGAAGATCTAGATCTGCAGGTGTGAGGGGGTGAAGATCTAGATCTGCAGATGTGAAGGAGTGAAGATCTAGATCAGCAGATGTGAAGGAGTGAAGATCTAGATCAGCAGATGTGAAGGAGTGAAGATCTAGATCAGCAGATGTGAAGGAGTGAAGATCTAGATCTGCAGGTGTGAGGGTATGAAGATCTAGATCAGCAGATGTGAAGGAGTGAAGATCTAGATCCGCAGATGTGAAGGAGTGAAGATCTAGATCAGCAGATGTGAAGGAGTGAAGATCTAGATCCGCAGATGTGAAGGAGTGAAGATCTAGATCAGCAGATGTGAAGGAGTGAAGATCTAGATCAGCAGATGTGAAGGAGTGAAGATCTAGATCAGCAGATGTGAAGGAGTGAAGATCTAGATCAGCAGATGTGAAGGAGTGAAGATCTAGTATAACGGCTGCTTTTTTACGAAGAACCCTTCGCAGGCGCTCTCGGGAAAAAGGGACAGTGTCTCACCCCAATCCTTGCAAAAGGATAATCCTTGCAAAAGGATCAAATAAGAGCAACCCTTGCAAAAGGGTCATGTGGCTCAGGTCTACACACAGCATTTGCAATAACAAATGCATGTATTTACACACACACACATACATACATACATACATACATGCATGCATGCATGCATACATACATACATATATATATATACATAGGTGTGGTGATATTTAAAAAAACACTGTGTGTTTCTGTTTGCTGTGTGTTAACCTGAGCCATAGCTCAGCCCTTGCAAAAGGGCCACTTGTAGCTGCAGCCCAACAGTGGTTTGTACAGAAGCTACCAAATGTGTAGCAAGCAGCAAAAAAATGAAAGAAATAAATATAAATAAATCAAAATAACTAAATAATTAATGTATTACATATAAATACATGCAACTTTACACAACTTGTTTACACAACTTGTTTTTTTAATTAGAAACCTTTGCCATGGACATATGCCTTTTGAAAACCTGATGTTTTTTTGAGTTTTGCATGGACCCTAAAACAAGGTAGCGCCGCTGATAGCGACCCTGGGCCTTTCATCACCATACTCATACATGTTTGTATCCAATGTCCCACGTTTTGCACGTTTTCATTCATATTGGAAATTTGCACACGTGCATTTTGCCCCATTTTTTGCATGGGGGCATGTCCATCATGTGCGATTTGCATTGTAGTTGCGATGCAAACCTCGGTTTTTTCTGCGTGGGCACGTTTTCGGACTCTTATCCTTGATGCTTTGCAGCTCTTTTGGCCAACGCATCTGCCAGATTCATTTTATGATTCCAGCGAAACTGAAAGGATCGCACATACTGCTCAAGCCGTGCAGCATCTCTTGTGCCCAATCCTTCACGAGTGCTTAACTCTTTGGGCACATACTTTTTCAGATGGCGCCACACCTGATCGAGCAATTGTGTCCAACCACCCAACCCTATGTCCAACGTAGCGTGCACATCCGATGCAACTTCAAACCAACGTCAACATGCCCCACCCCACCCCACCCCACCCAACCCTATGTCCAACGTAGCGTGCACATCCGATGCAACTTCAAACCAACGTCAACATGCCCCACCCCACCCCACCCCACCCCGACCCCTATCTACTCATGTGGGTAGAAGCAAGAACAGATACAACAAGCCACCAAGCCCAGCTAAAGTGCAACCAAGCGTTGTCGAACCAAAGCTTCCCCTCTGAGATTCTGACCTGGCCAAAGCACGCGTCGACAATAGTGCTATGGGGTCGCTAACGGAGGCGTTAGCTAAAACAACCAAGCAGGGAAACACAGATACTACTGAAAAACAAAGGCAATGGAATAAAGTCTTTCCCAGAATGTCAACCCCTTGCAAAAGGGGCACCAAATTAAACATTATCCCTTGCAAAAGGGACACCACACACATTCAAGATTTAAGGTGTCAAGGTTCATTTTTGTAAACTGAGATGATTTCTCAAATGCTGTTTGGTGTCTGTTTCAGGCTGCAGGCAGATGATTATGTTTCTGTTGACTCTGCAGTTTCTTGATCCAAACAAATCCCACAATGATATTTGAAACAGCATAGAAACACAGAGTACTAAACTGTTTCACCCAAAATTAAAAGCCAGTGAATTCATACCTGAAAAAACATGAATTAAATTTAATTTTTATATATATAATAGGTTAAGATGCAGATGGGAAAATCCTTAATTGCAAAAATAAGTGTTCAAATTATTTATTTTAAGAGTCAGACACAAATAGTCTCTGGAATCTATATCCAATTATACAATGTATTTTCAAACAAATTCCAGTATAGTTTCAATATAGTCCAATACAGGTTTGACAGTGAAATGTTGCCTTACTGTTTTGTTGTGTACAAAAAACATTAAAAACTATTTAACCTATTTGTTTTGGTTTTGAAAGGGTTTATAAATTGAAAAAATGGTTTTAAAAATATTAGTGCCAATCCAATCCTATCCAATTCTATCAGTTTTTTTTTAAAGAGGTTCATCAAAAAATTCAAGGCTTTGAAAATAAAAATTGAATTTTGATAAAATTTGATGAAAACATTGTTTTCATCAGATTTCATCAAATTTCATCAGAAGAATCAAGGTTTTGAAAAAAAAAAACTGAACTTTGATGAAATTTGATGAAATTTGGTGAAAACATGGTTTTTCATCAAATTTCATCAAATTTCATCAAAGTTCACAAGGTTTTGAAAAAAAAATGAATTTTGATGAAATTTGATGAAAACCTGGTTTTTCATCAAATTTCATCAAAGTTCATCAAAAAAATCAAGGTTTTGAAAAAAAATGAACTTTGATGAAATTTGATGAAATTTGATGAAAACATGGTTTTTCATCAAATTTCATCAAAGTTCATTTTTTTTTCAAAACCTTGATTTTTTTGATGAAATTTGATGAAAACCAGGTTTTCATCAAAATTCATCAAAACTAAATTCATTTGAAAAAAATCAACAACCAGTGATTGAAACCAGATTTAGATTTGCAACACCTTGAAAAAGTTGAGATTAATGTAACCAATGTTTGTTGAACATTGGTTTTGGTATTGAATTTATATGTGTTGTATGTTTGTTTGGTTAGTAACATCAATTTGTTTTGGTTTGGAAAATATTGAAAAACACGTGTTTTGCTTAAATAACAAAAATGTTTTATCTATGTTTGTTTTATATTGTTTTGGTTTGTGTTAATGTATTGCTTTGGTTTGGTTGAAAAATCATGGGTTTTCTTCCACCTGCAAAATAATTAAATCATAAATATTCAATATAATTTAATATAATTGCATAAAATTAATAATATACATTTATATAAACAAATATTATATATATAGTTAATGAGCATGCTTGTGTATGATATATGCATGGTGTTTTTTATTTGTTATGTAGTTTTGACAAGAAAACTATTTATATGCCTTATAATATATTATATGTTTGTTTTAAAACACACACACATGAACTAAACCCTTCATGCACTTGCAGCCATTTTAAACTTCAAACACTTTTAGAAGAAAATGCCAATTTCCAAGATGCCAAAACCATTGAAAAAGAAAATTTTGAAAAACAAGCCCTTGCAAAAGGGCAACTCCTTGCCAAAGGGCAAGCCCTTGCCAAAGGGAAAGCCCTTGCCAAAGGGCAAATCCTTTCAAAAGGACAAGCCCTTGCAAGAGGACAAGCCCTTGCAAAAGGACAAGCCCTTGCCAAAGGGCAAGCCCTTGGGAAAGGGCAAGCATCTCCCCAGCAGTGGCAGCAAGCCCTTGAAAAAGGACAAGCCCTTGAAAAAGTGCAAGCTGTGTGCTAAGAACCTCAACAGACTTGGCAATCTTTCTTTGCAAGAGAAGGTTGCTGCAGTTTGTGAGGAGCAAGTGATGATGACAGGCTGGTTAACCATCCAGCAACCCTTGAAAAAGGGTGGGGGCAAGTCATCATCCCTCTGTTCACACATGGTGATGGAGTGGAATATGAATCCAGGGACAGCTTGATGGTTTGGAGCTTTGGACCCCTCCTCTCCCAAGAACAATCCCTGGACAGCCACTTGCTCATGACAGCCCTTGCAACAAATTTAGTGGCACAGGCCTTCCCTTTGACCCTTGCAAAAGGGAATTGGTCATTGCCAAAAGGAACCAGCCCTTTGCAAAAGGGGACTAACCCTTGTAAAAGGAGCCCTTGCAAAAGGGGATCCCTTGCAAAAGGGAACCAGCCCTTGCAAAAGGGTAGTGTTTTTAGAAATGGCCTCAAGGCTTCTGTGCAGCAAAGCCTGTGAAACACTTCACATGCCTAGAAAAAGTTTGCTGGCTGCAGCTTGGGAAGGTGGGAAAGGGAATGGTAACTGGGCAGGCATACAGGCTTACCTGGCATGCATGCCTCTGCAGCTGTTTTGCTTCAAAGCTTTAGGTTTAGTGTGAAAAGTTGTAGAAGATCCAGCCCTTGCAAAAGGGCACGTTCCAACCCTTGGAAAAGGGTAGCCAAGCCTTGCAAAAGGCAAACCTTTAAAGGTATAGAGAAACCCTTGCAAAAGGGAAACTCCTTGAAAAAGGGTTGGGGTTTTAAAGCCCTTAGCCCTTGAGAAAGGGTGATGAGCAACACGCCTTTCAGCTTGCCTGCGCCATGCCCACCAAACCCTTGGGAAAGGGGCCAGCTGGAAATAAGACATAGAGTTCTTGCAACCATGGACCCCCCAACAGAATAGTGGGGAGTCTACCATGAAAGGTGGCTGCAAAATGTAGGTGAGGCAAGCTTTTCTTTGGACCAAAGCTGCTTGATCCAAAGGAAAAACAATGATGGCTTGACATATTTTGCACTTTGGCTGAAGCCAGTTGCTCATGGGTTTCCTGTAGTGCAGCCTCATATTAGCTTGGGCTTGGCCAAATTTCTTACCCATCAAGAACATTGGATTGCAACTATCAGGTCACAAGCTTTCCTGTGGCCAAGGGTAATCAAAGGGCAATTCCAAAGATATGGGCAGCTGAACTTTGCCTTGTTGCAGAACAATGAACTCTCAGCCCTGGTCCAAGTATTGCGAGAAACTCTTGCAAAAGAGTCCTGCAGCACAAAACAAATGGACAGGGTGCCCCACATCAGCTCGACCCCAATTATGAAGTTCGGCCTTTGAATCCTTGCAAAAGGATAATTCCTTGGGAAAGGAGCACCCCTTGGGAAAGGGATGGCTGCCAGGAATGATCCTTGAGAAAGGGCACCCTTTGCAAAAGGGTGGATGGAGCATAAGGGGTGCCCCTTGAGAAAGGGGAAGCTGCCATCCCTTGAGAAAGGGAAACAATGGTCCTTGACAAAGGACACCCCTTGAAAAAGGGATGAGTGGAGCTGATCCTTGGCAAAGGATGCCCCTTGAGAAAGGGACACCCTGGCACACAATCATTGCAAAAGGATTGCCCTTGCAAAAGGGCAATTGCCAAGACTAGCCCTTGAGAAAGGGTGCCCCTTGAAAAAGGGAGTTTGCCACAAGCAATCCTGGAGAAAGGATGTCCCTTGCAAAAGGGAAATTGCCAAAATCAATCCTTGAGAAAGGATGCTCCTTAATGCAAAAGGAAACCCCTTGCAAAAGGGCACTGCCACCTTAGCCCTGGAGCTCTTTGGACATCCCTTGGGAAAGGGAAAGATACCAGCACTGATCCTTGCAAAAGGAGAGAACCCTTGCAAAAGGGTAAGTTGCCAGAGGCCCTTGAGAAAGGGCATCCCTTGAGAAAGGACATCCCTTGAAAAAGGGAGTGATGGAGCTAATCCTTGAGAAAGGGTCCTGATCCTTGGCAAAGGATAACACTTTGCCATGAAATTTGTGCATACAACCCTCCAAAGGAGGGGGCTGGTGCTGCAATGTCTGGGGTCCAAAAGGGAAAGGGGAGACAAGTCGAAACATTGGAAAAATATTGATTTTTATATTGATTTTTATATTGATTTTTATATTGATTTTTTATATTGATTTTTATATTGATTTTTGGTTTGCTTTTCAAACCCAGCAAACAAATCAATATAGAAAAATAACACCAAGGGCTCTGAAATCAATATTTTATATTGAAAAAACATTGAAATCAAAAGTGCTTGCCCCATATTGATTGTAATCAATATCGGATGCTCAGGGAACGGCATTTTCAAACCCAGCAAACAAATCAATATAGAAAAATAACACCAAGGGCTCTGAAATCAATATTTTATATTGAAAAAACATTGAAATCAAAAGTGCTTGCCCCATATTGATTGTAATCAATATCGGATGCTCAGGGAACGGCATGCAACGGCAACGCGACGCAGCTCTTTGCCATCAACGCTGACTGGCACGCTGACCTTCTCGTTCACGGTTGGATCTGGCGAGTTTCTTCTCGTCTCGTTCACGGTTGGACATGACGAGTTTTTGGTTGCAATGGTTGCCAAGCCAAAGAGAGCTCCACTGCCTAAGAAAATAATTCAGAAGAGGTGCAGAAAGAAGGCTACTAGGTCTAAGGTTAAGGCGAAGGATACTAAAGTCCATGATGACCACCACAGGGAGGAGGTTCTGGCCGTCTTGCAGGCATGGAAAGATAATGTGCCTGTGTCGGACATCAACCGTCGAGAGATCAGGATGCCCTCGACTGCTAGCCTTAAGCATAGCAAGAGGCATTTGGATGCAAGATCAGGACGCCCTCGACTGCCAAATTCTGAAACGTTGGTGCCAGTTTGGAGAATTGATTCTGCTGATGCAAAAGCAGTTCTCCACACTGGCACCAACGCTTCAGCTTTTGGCACTTCCTGACCCCCAAAAAACCAGGAAATCCATGAATTTGGAATGAAAGTGTGGTGCTTTCAGGGCTCCTGACCCCACAAAAACCATGCTCCCCAAGGTGGTAATAGTCTTTGTCTGGTCAAACAATGCCTAATCAATATATTTAATATATATATATATATAGATATTTTTCAAAAAAATATATATATATATTAAATATATATATATTGAAAAAAAAGAGTGAGCTTCAACATGAATCAAGCAACATGTTGTGGGTGGAACAAACAAGGAATGCCAAGATGCACCGGGGAATATGGTAGAGGATTGCCTTGTGAATTCTTTTGCTAGTCGGTAACATTGACCCTTTTACTCATAGTTTGTATTTATTCTTGGTACATGCAAGTGCACCAGCGCATCTTTTGATACCACTCTGTTGCAGGAGTGTGACTTGACTACCCGCCGCTCACAACTTGTAACAACACACCTGCACACGGCACTACCGACTTGAAACCAAAACGATTCCCATTTTTTTTTACAAAACCCTGTCCTCCAGACCGGGCGGTGGAGCTGGCTGCTTGCCCCTTCCGACGTTGCCACGCCACTTAGACTTCCACCCACTAGCCCTCTGCCTCTTCTTAGTCTTCTTCATCTGCTCCTCCACCACTGCGAATGCTTCCTGGAAAGGGTCACCAGGGGGGAGTTGGTCAATCTAAAAATTGAAGCCGTGGTGACTGAGTCTGAGTTATCTTGATTGTAGAACCAATTTGAAAATGATATGCGTGGTGCGTGTTCTGTGCAGGTGCGCATGGACTATGATATTCATGGTACAGTACTGCGCTCTGTCCTTTAAAAAAATGGTTTCTTCTCAATTTTGATTTTGGGACCTGTGAGGAACCCACCGTCAACAGGCCCAAAGGAATCCAAAAAACACATGCAAATTATCTGTAGGGTCCCACCGTCAGCCTCACCAAACAAAAATGCATAGCCCAGTCAAAAGACTGGACTCTTTCCCAACCTCTTGCCACGAAAAAAAATCCAGCATTCTGTTCCAAACGTGATTTGTTGCCAGCTTGCACTGACTCTTTCCAATTTGGAGTTTGGACCTGTGAGGAACCAACCGTCAACAGGCCCAAACCCCACCGTCACCGTCAGGCTCACAAGGAAAAAAGCATAGCCCAGTCAAAAAAAACTGGATTCTTTCCCAACATCTTGCCACAAAAAAAAAATACCAACATTCTGTTCCAAACGTGATTGTTGCCAGCTTCAACTCTTTCCATTTTTGAGTTTGGACCTGTGAGGAACCAACCGTCAACAGGCCCAAACCCCACCGTCACCGTCAGCCTCACCAAAAAAAATGCATAGCCCAGTCAAAAGACTGGACTCTTTCCCAACATCTTGCCACAAAAAAATCCAGCATTCTGTTCCAAACGTGATTTGTCGCCAGCTGCAACTGTTTCCATTTTTGAGTTTGGACCTGTGAGGAACCAACCGTCGTTAGGCCCAAACAAATACAAAAAAAACATCATGCCAAACGTCAGTGTCAGCAAGCGGCTGGAAAATGATCAATCGACCATGGCAAATTTGGCTGGAAACATACAACATAGATATGCCAGAACATATTATCTAAATCTAAGTTACATCAGGTTCATTAAGTCCATCAAGATATCCTAAACCCTTGTTTCTTAACCAAGTTGATGAATTATTGGTCCGCCCTGGCCCCCCCCAAAAAAAAACAATATGGAAATATATCATACGCACCATGATGACCACAAACACCATCATGAAACACATGACCAACATTGACCAACATGTTAAAACACTTCATTGTTAAAAAACTTCACAACCAAAAACCAATTAATTATCTTTGAGAGGCACGCACCAGCCCAGCCCTTCCATCCATTCCATCCCAACCATCCATTCTGTCCCATCCAAAATCCGACCAGGTTTCAAAAACCGAGCGTAAGAGAGATGAACCTGTCACACAAGTGCCACGCCTGCCACCTACTTTTTACTAAGTGTTCCGAGCCTTGAGCCATCTTGAGCCACAACATCCGATTTGAGCCATGGGCGATGCCCTGTATACAATACCTATCCGACCGGTTTTTTTTGGTGTTACAGCGCCCAAGCCGGGGAGTCAATTCATGCAGGTGAAACCGGGACAGATGATAAAATCTTCAGCCCCTCACCGACAGAGATAATCTTACAACCCTCACCGACAGAGATGATAGAATCTTATGCCTTCAGAAAGGCAAAAAACAGGGCACTTAGGGCACCCAGTTAACATCAGCAAGCAGTTCACCACTCATGATCCTCTAGCCGTCCGGCCAGCCCAGCAGATCAGCGGATCAGCGGATCAGCGGATCAGCGAATCAGCGGACCAGCGGATCAGCGGATCAGCGGACCAGCGGATCAGCGGATCAGCGGATCAGCGGATCAGCGGATCAGCAGACCAGCAGATCAGCGGACCAGCGCGGATCAGCGGATCAGCGGATCAGCGGACCAGCGGATCAGCGGATCAGCGGATCAGCGGATCAGCGGATCAGCGGATCAGCGGATCAGCGGATCAGCAGACCAGCAGATCAGCGGACCAGCGGATCAGCGGATCAGCGGACCGGATCAGCGGATCATCGGACCAGTGACCATGGATCAGCTGATCAGCGGATCAGCGGATCAGCGGACCGAACCAAGAGATCCACGGATCAGCTCGTCCACGGATTCTGCAAAGTGCTGCCTTTTTGTACTTGTCAACTGCTTTCCACACACGCGCCTGCCTTTCGCTCATTGCAGGTTCATTCCCCAAGAGATTGTACCTTTGACAAGTTAGTGCATGTCATCAGCAACATCATGATTATGTCATGTATGTCCTTCTGGCAGCCATCCTCCACTTTGTTCGACGTTTGGGATCTGTTGTTTGAGGAACCTTATCCTACTCTGAGCGTTGTCATTCAGAGTTGGATGTGCGGCCTGAGGTCATCATCCCTTCCTCTTCGTTGTCTGGTTTGGTAATTTCACCAAGGCGGGCAATCTTCCAGTGGTGCGGAAGAGGTTACAATTCTCACCGCAACACAATGACACGCGCAAGCACGCGCAGCACTTTTGGTGCGACCATTGCAGGCTTACTTGTCAAGGGATTGTATTAGCTTCACACGGCAATGAAATGTGCTTCTAGCAGCCAGGTTGTCCAAAGTTGTGAGATTTGGTGTTATACCCTACTCTGAGCATTGTCATTCCCCACTGCCTGTGCGGCCTGAGGTCATCACATCCTCGTCAACCTTTGGTTCCCTTTGTTGTTTGGAAAATTCACGAAGGCGGGCAATTCTGCTGCTGCTGCGCAGGGCTGCAATTTTCAGAGCAACACAGTCACCGCACGAGCATGTGCAGCATTTTTGATGCAATCGCTGCAGGCTTACTTTTCAAGGGACTGCGGCTTCATATGGCAATGACGAATCGCGAATTCTTTTGCAAATTATATTTCATGAGTCACGAGTGTGCTTCTGCCAGCCATCTTGGACATGACCCACTTAAAACTTGTTAAGACAGTCACTCGCAAGACACATCCTCAAGTCTGTGCCAACAATGGCGGCTGGGTCAACTCATGCTGCGCTTGCGTCGATCATTCGAGAAGCCGACCCAGCAGCCCAAATCTCACCTCAATTGGTAGATTGCCTGGCGGCGGAATTGTCTCCGCTCTTTGAAAATCTTGCAGCCGTGTACGGAAGAGAAACTGACCTCAAGGAGTTGCTACCTTCCCCTACACATTGCCCGGCTTGTCAGAATCGGCTTGCTGAATGCAGAAGCTCGGCAGCTGCTGCAATCATAGTCGACCTGGCTGCCATTGTGGAAAAGCAGCATGTCGCATTACGCCGCAGGTGCCCATCCTGCCCTGACTTTGGGGTGCTATTGGCACAACTACAGTGTCCGTGCAGGGCGGCACGTTTTTCATGGAAAGCTACCAGGCTTCCGTTGCTTCATGCTATCTTCTGTTTTTGGCTTTAGTGTGCCGTGGCTTCAGCAGTTCCATGCTCGCCATGGTCAGGCAGCACGCGTCATTCACTAGTGAAGCGGATGTGCTCACTGCGCAGGCCGCAGCGACTTCTCAGTTGAACCTGCTCCCTGCTGCCCGCCTACGTCTGCTCACCAGCCAAGGTTGGTTACATGGCGCCTTCTCACAAGGGCACTGGGCGCAGATCTGGACCTGTCTGAGATGGACTTTTTTGAAGCCTTTGGAAGACATGGTGGCCCTTTTCTTGCCGCAGTTGCAGCACACATTTGGACAGAATATGTTGCAGGCAGCACAAGAAGCAGGCATGCGCTGCAATGTGGTGGTCCTCGATGGCAACGCCAAGAATCGGAGGGCGGTGTGTGCAGCAGCTTTGGCCGGCTCCTCCCATTCTGAGCATCTCCAGCGCACGTTGCGCCACACCTGCACCAGGACGCCGGCCTTCCGCCATGCTTTTTGCCGTTGGCATTGCGAAGGACCTACGGACGGAGAAGATCACCTCCAGGTGCAAGGGCTGGGTCATTGTCATTTGTGTTGCTTTCTTCTGGTTGAAAAAATGTGCCCTTGTCTTAGACCCCAACTTCAGGATGTGGAGATTGTGCACCACAAGGTGGTCAATGATGGGCAGCAGCTTATGGTTCTGCTGAAAGAGACAATGGAGCCTCAGAGAGAGGCTTGGGTTTCGGACGCATGTGTCCCTGCGGCAGTTTTGTCGAAATATTTGCGACAAGTAGGCCAAGAAAAGCTCAAGCCTCGCAAGCGGTCACATGAGGATCCGTCGCAAAGCCTTGGCGAAGCATCTTCTCCATCGCCATCAGCTTCTCGGCCTGCGGGGACAAACAGTCCTGCAGACCTGCAGCAGCTCTCAGACTCCACAGATCTCATGTCGGTCACCTGTTCTACGCACAAAGAAAGCACAACTGCCCAAAAGCAGCTTAAAAAGTCTGCCGGACTGCTGTGCGCGTGTTTGTCGGACGGTGCAATCTTGCACATGCAAGAGATCTATGGCTGCGAATCTCTAAGCCAGCGATACGTCTGCGTTGCCGCCGTCAAGGCATTGATGCCGTCTCTCTGTGTAGTAGTGCATGATGACGCTTGTCACTTGCACAAATATGCGGCCCGCAGGGCAAAGGACAGAAGGGTTGCATGTCTGTTGCTGCGGGATATATAATAAATATATATATATTGTAATTTTTGGACCTGGGGCAATCAATAATTATATGTCCTGGAAGCAAACCTTGAAACCAAACCTTCAGCCCGAACCCAGGTATGTGTCGGAGTTAAATGAACTAGATTGGCCCTGCAGGATTCAGCAGCTGCCGCTGGCATAGCCCCGCCAAAGCTGACCTACGTATGTGGTAAGCTTCACATGGCAGGACACACAGACGCCTGGTGCAGGAAGACTTGTGATCCGGACCTGCCGGAACATGCTTCTGTTCTGTAAGGGATTAGAACATCAGTGTGCGAGTTTACATTCACTTGGCTCAGCAAATATAAGCACCAAATAAAGCACATGAATGAGTATGGCTTCAAATTCTTCCTCTTGGACATGGCGTGGAGCCACAACGAAATCATTTTGCAAGGAGGTTATAGGCCAGAGGAAGTGGCAGGATCACTTAGTGCTGAACGCGCTTGAAAAACATTGTGGTCTGATCTTGCAAGTACCGGGCTGCCTGCACCCCAGTCGTTCGATCATTTCCCTGCGCATGTGCAAATGTGCTTGTCCATCCTACTTGCTAACTATGCTGCAGTGTTTTTCGCTCATCACAGGTGCAGAATCTTGTAGTGGTAAGTTCCACCGCCATGTCTGGAACCCATGAAGATAGACAGTACATACCGGCCATGAAGCTCATGTGGGATGAAGTAGACGCACGCTTTGATCCAAAGTATGTGCTTGGGGAAGCTGGCCATCGCTTCTGCCAAACATATTCCGTGAGAGCTGCCCAATCCAGAATTGCCTTACGCTCTGCATTGTTTGTCAATGATGTGTGCTCTGGTCAATGGGGCTCGTGTTGCTTTCTTTCCCACATCCCCATCGCCTCTGACTCTCGTGGCCATCAATGTGAACTATGCCCAAACGAGAAAATCGTCCACGACAGGACACGCAGAAACCCTGGGGCAAGCGTTGGATGCTGTCATCCTGAAGGCAGCGGCATCAATAAGATTGGAAGAAAGCTTGCCAGAGCCGGCAGTGCAAGATGGATTGCCAGGTGGGCCTTCCGGAAGGCTTCGAAGGCCGGGCTTATACATTTTTCGTCGATGAGATGAATGTTTGACCCTTGTAATGCTTTAACTTTGTGTGCAAAAGCACGGCAAATTAAATGACAGTTTGCATGCCCTTTTTTTTCTGCCCTTGCCCACTTTCAGCGCAGGTATTTGCGGCCAAAAATACTATCAGCCACAGTGGCCAGCTCCACGCCAGAAGAATGGTTTCATCGTTGCTCCGGAGACTGGGACCAAGTCCGGAACGCGGACAAGTTGCCAGGTGACTTCCCGGGCCGGTGTTGGTACGGCTTACTTGGAAACTTTGATGAAGCCTACGACTTCTTGCTCAGTCTTGGGCTTTTGTCAGATCCCAGCACATCTTCCAAGGACAAAGCAAAATCGAAGGTGAACCCGTACCAGAGCGCTTTCAAGCTGCTGCAATTCGGCTCCAGCGCAAGAGCCGCGAAAACAGCAGGCAGCTACGGTGAAAGGCCTGACCGGACAATAAGCATGGTAATCACCTGCAACATGCACCCGGCGCAGTACATCCCAATGGAAAGGGGCGAAATTGGAAGCCATGCTGCTTCCACCAAGGAAAGGTTCCTCGTTGCCACTGGCCGACCGGTACAACCTCATGAAGAGCTCCCTCCTGATTTTTGCGCCCCTGAAGGATGGGGCTCAAAAGTTGACATTGATTGAAGCAAGGGCGTTTGTAGCTAGGTAGCACTCAACGCAATTTCAATTCATCAAAATCAAAAGTCTTGCATTTTCTTGCTTTTCTGGGACATATATCGCTCCGTTGAAGGCGCAGGAGCTTCGCGGCACCACTGGGTCCCTCTCACTCCTGACATTGCTGACTTGATCGGCGTTGCCAAACAAGCACCATCTCCAGATGCAGCCGCTCAGGAATGGCACGAGGCCGGCTTCGCAGATGCAGGCGCCGTGCAGTTCACGCAGAATGCTGCCCCGGAGTACGTGCCATCAGAAGAGGGATACCCAGTTAGGCTTTTGGATGGCAAGCTCAGCCGGCTCCGCTTCAAGCGTGACCAATCCGCTCCAAACGGCTTTGAGGCAGAGTGGAGAGCAGCCAACCGCAACTTTGCCATTCCTGAGGAATGTTCCATTATGTTCCATTCATACCGCAGTGGCCCGACTGACGGCATACTTCTCAGAGCCGCACCAAGTCATCACTCTCACTGCGGAAGCAGAGTCATGGCACTTGTCCTACCAGGGCGCCATGAATGTTCAGAGCCATGTCGTTCGTGGGGACGTGCAAGCTGGTGCTCGTTTTGGTGCAGCTCCTTGGCAAGTAGGCGTCCTGGCAGCCTTGCTCTTGGTATTCGAGATCTTCGTTGGGGCCCATTCCGTTGAAGCTCTTCAAGCAAAAGCTTTGCAGGTCACTTCTCAGCATTTGCAACGTGCCTACGCTGTTCTCCAGCTCGCCCCCTAGCGGATTCAAACATTTTTTCCTGTTCATGCGGGCATTTTTGCTGCTCTAATAATGCTTGCCAACTTAGGACTTTGGCGTTGAAATTGCAGAACATGACTTTGCCACTCTTGCCTGTAAGGTTCAGAGGTTGAAGCAGATTGCACTCGGGGATGCTGCCACAAGCCCAGACAATGCCCCGCTGCTGGAACAAGAGGCTTCCTTTGATGTGGGCTCTCTACGTGTTCCGTATGATGAACATGCCTTTGCACCTGCAACGCAGCCGCGGAGACCAGTCGATGAGAGTGAGAATGAGGATGATGAAGGGGACGCGGGAGAAGTTGACATGGAGCCACCCGAAGAGCCTGCTGAACACTTGGCCCAGCCGCCCCAGCCACCCCAACCCATGGATACAGAACTCGCAGCTTTGACTCTGCGAGATGTTCGTGCCAGTGATTATGGTTTTGGTGACAATGGACTTTCTGTGCAGCCAGATGGCCTCCACAGCCGCCACTTGACCGACAGGGCAATTTTGAAGCAAACGCTTCTGACAGGGAAGCCCAAGGTCACGCGCAAGGAGGCTTGTGACAAGATGCGCAGCTCCCGACAAGCAGGTCGCAAGGCTTTACCCAAGGAAAAGTGGACTGCTGTGATGGCAGCCGCCGCGGGGCAGCATCCAAACCTATTGCGCCTGGGAGGTGAGACATTGTGCTTGCAGGTCATATACCTGACACTTCCGATGGCAAGGTGCGGTACCACAACGATCTCATGAAAGCCTGCGGCCTCACCTTGCGGGAGCTGATCGCAGCCATGAACAAGACAGCTGAGGCATCTGATAAGACCGCCGTGCAAAACGCACCAGGAATGAGTGACATAGGGCAGCCGTTCCGGCAGCACGGCATGAAGATTATAAGGGGCGAAAATGGAATTGGCGCCAAGAACACAAATGAAGCAATGTAATTTTCATTTCACTCTTCATGTCCAAAACCCCCCTGGCAAGAACGGCATTGTCCTGAGCTGGCTAGGCAAGGAAGAGTCGGCTGCGCGCTGCTTTGACATGAGCATGGCCTCTAGCTAGGACTGCGCTCGTGGCCATGATTGCTTTGTGACAACAAGTACTGGGCGCAGTGGGGCTCGCATGGCTCCGTGCCTGCTAAATCACATATCACGGTCTTTGGCCGCTTCTATATAGTCCTTCACTGACTGATGAGCAGACCAGCGCGCCAGCGGATCAGCGGACGAGCGGATCAGCGGATCAGCGGATCAGCGGACCAGCGGATCAGCGGATCAGCGGATCAGCGGACCAGCGGATAAGGGATCAGCGGATCAGCGGATCAGCGGACCAGCGGATCAGCGGATCAGCGGATCAGTGGACCAGCAGATCAGCAGATCAGCGGATCAGCGGATCAGCGGACCAGCGGATCAGGGGACCAGCGGATCAGCGGATCAGCGGATCAGCGGATCATCGGACCAGTGGATCAGCGGATCAGCGGATCAGCGGATCAGCGGATCAGCGGATCAGTGGACCAGCGGACCAGCGGATCAGCGGACCAGCGGATCAGCGGATCAGCGGATCAGCGGATCAGCGGATCAGCGGAATCAGCGGATCAGACAACCCCACGATCATCAGTCCAGTTCACGGGATGACAAACTCTGGGTGTTTTCAGTGTGTTTGGAGAAGCAGGTTCCCAAGTCATGGCTTATCATAATGATAGTCAATATATCATGTCAAACCCAATAATGTTTATTACTAATATGTCAAATATAATATGGGTTTATCAAGCACCATCAATATATAAATAATCGAAGGAAGTTTAGAAGTCAAACTTCCGACAATATGGAGAGATGAAAAGCAGAGCAGGGCAGAGGCACAGAGAAGAGGAAGATTAGAAGAGAGAAGATCAGAAGCGAAAGAGTAAGAGGACAGACGCTACAGATGCGCGAAAAGGTAGGAAAGTCGCGAAACACTGTGTTTTTCCAATGATTTGTGGCTCCGGAGGGTCGAAAAGTAGGCTCGCTAAAGCGGCGGGTGCGGATCCAGCTGGCCACAGGAGCGATGAAAAATTGCACGCCGTTGTGGCGCGAAGCACATTTCCAAGTCAAAATGTACAAAACACCAGGGGTTCGGACCACTTTTGGAACTTGAGATGTCGAAAAAGTGCACGCCGTTGTGGCGCGAAGCACATTTCCAAGTCAAAATGTACAAAACACCGCAGCTTCGGACCACTTTTGGGAGTTGACATGTCGAAAAAGTGCACGCCGTTGTGGCGCGAAGCACATTTCGAAGTCAAAATGCACAAAACACACCATTCTCGGACCACTTTTGGAAGTTGAGATGTTGAAAAAGTGCACGCCGTTGTGGCGCGAAGCACATTTCCAAGTCAAAAGCGTTAAAAACTGACGGTCTCGGACCACTTTTTGAAGTTCAGATGTCGAAAAAGTGCACGCCGTTGTGGCGCGAAGCACATTTCGAAGTCAAAATGTTAAAAACACTAGGGGTTTGGACCACTTTTGGAGGTTCAGATGTGCTTCCCTTCGCTTCGCTTAACTACACTACACTACATTACACTCCACTGCACTACATTACACTACACTACACTCCACAACACTACAACTACAACTACACAACTACACTACACTCCACTACACTAAATTACACTCCACTACACTACATTACACTACACTACACTTCACTACATTACACTACACTACACTACAACTACAACTACACAACTACACTCCACTACACTCCACTACACTAAATTACACTACACTACATTACACTACACTACACTGCGCTACACTACACTACATTACACTACACTACCCTCCACTACACTTCACTACAACTACAACTACACAACTACACAACTACACAACTACACTCCACTACACTCCACAACACTACAACTACAACTACACAACTACACTACACTCCACTACACTACACTCCACTACACTAAATTACACGACACTTCACTACATTACGCTACACTACACCACACCACATTACACTACACTACCTTCCATTACGCTTCACTACATTACACTACACTACACTCCACTACACTACAACTACAACTACACAACTAGACTCCACTACACTCCACTACACTAAATTACACTACACTACACTACATTCCACTACACTCCACTACACCACACTACATTGCACTACACTACATTACACTGAATGACACTGCACCACAGATAGACAGGTAGACAGATAGATAGATAGACAGATAGGCAGCTAGACAGCTAGACAGATGAAGGAGAGAGAGAGAGAGAGAGAGAGAGAGAGAGAGACAGAGACAGAGACAGAGAGACAGAGACAGAGAGACAGAGACAGAGACAGAGAAACAGATAGATAGATAGATAGATAGATAGATAGATAGATAGATAGATAGATAGATAGATAGATAGATAGATAGATAGATAGATAGATAGATAGATAGATAGTCAGACAGGTAGACAGCTAGACAGATAGACAGATGAAAGAGAGAGAGAGAGAGATAGATAGATAGATAGATAGATGGATAGATAGATAGATAGGTAGGTAGGTAGATAGGTAGATAGGTAGATAGGTAATTAAATGAAAGAGAGAAAGAGAGAGATAGAAAGATCGATAGATAGATAGATACATAGAAGATAGGCTGGTAGGTAAGTAGATAGTCAGAGAAAAAGAGAGAGAGAGAAAGAGAGGAGACCTCAAGCACCTTTCGGTCCATCAGTGGCTTCGCTCTGCCATCTCTCATTCACAACAACCAAGCTCTCCTATAGGTTTCCTATTTTTGAAACTTCCGCCACCGCCTTGTGCGGTACTACTGGTATGTATCAATAATGTTATAATCATACCGCAATAAACATCAATAAACCAGATTGATCCCGGAACGATCAATCAACAAGGGTTTATTGCGGCACTGCTTGTGTTGAAACATCGCTGAAACATGGATGACTTGTGGATCAATAATTCCGTCACGTGACAGGGATTGCCAAGTCGACTGAATTTGGTCCGTGCCAAATAGAAAAAAACGTATGCACACCTTGAAATGTGATCAAAAGCTGGGAAACGTGGATGAGATAATGAATCTCAATCTGTGGTTGAACCGAAAACCCACCGAAACTTGGGAAACATCGAATCAGAGCTCCCACGTCTTCGGCTCTGTCTCTCGTTGATCCAAAACACCAAGTGTGTCCAAGGATCTTTGACCAAACCGTCAAGACGTAGCAAATATCTGGCAAGCCAGCAATGGGCGGCTCATTCATCAGCTCCACTGCTATGACATTGTCATATTTTTCCCAGACACTGCACGGGTACCTCAGAAACAACTCAAACATATCCAAAATCACTCGGTTGTGGTTGTTGTGGTTGTTGTGGTTGTTGTGGTTGTTGTGGTTGTTGTGGTTGTTGTGGTTGTTGTGGTTGTTGTGGTTGTTGTGGTTGTTGTGGTTGTTGTGGCTGTTGTGGTTGTTGTGGTTGTTGTGGTTGTTGTGGTTGTTGTGGTTGTTGTGGTTGCTGCTGTTGCTGCTGTTGCTGCTGCTGCTGGTGGTGTTGGTGTTGGTGTTGGTGTTGTTGTTGTTGTTTCTGCTGCTGCTGTTGTTGTTACTGTTGCAGTTGCTGTTGCTGCTGCTGCTGCTGTTGTGGCTGTGGTTGTGGTTGTGGTTGTGTGTGTGTATTTCAGCTCTCAACCCACACAGATAGAATGGCCATGAATGGTCCTGGCCATCATTTTTGAGCCAAAGGTACTTGACCACCGAGACAAAAGGGTCGAAGAAGGACTCTCGATCTGCATCATTGTGTTTTGACCCGTAGACCCGTCGGGCTGTGTTCTGAGACTGTGCGGTGGTCAACAATTTGCTCCCCCAGACCGAGTCGGCATTGTTTCTTCGCATGCTGGCGTTGCCAACATTCATCCATGCAGGATTACCTTCGGAACCAACGGAGTAAGGTTCCCAGGGAACGGGGTCCTGATCATATGTCTGGATGTCAAGACCGAACTGCCTGGCCAAACAGTTGCACAAGCAAAAGAAGGGCTGGAGTGGATACACTGGCGTGGTGATGTATGGAGTACGACAGGAATCTGGCCAACACTCACAGCACCAGCGTGAGAAGCAACAGCAACCTGGTTGGTGGTATACCTACCCCTCTGAAAAAAAATATGAGTGAAAGTCAGTTGGGAGTATGAAATTCCCAACTGAATGGAAAGTCATAAAATTCATGTTCCAAACCACCAACCAGCAACAGCAGCATTGCTCCAATTTGCAACCTGCTCGTTGTTGAAAATCCACCGTCGCCCACCAGGGAAAACCTTCCCCTCCATTGGTAGTTGAGCATGCATCTTGGTGCATATCCAGAAAGACATAGACTCCTGGGAAACTCACAGGAAACAGCTACACTTCATCGCAAATGGGTTCTGAAAAAAAATCGAGTAGACCCCAAAAAATTGATGGTGAATCATATTTTTCCCCAAAACCTCATTGTTTTTGGGATATTGGGCTGACCCCAGTGACCCAAATTTCATCAGAGTGTCCTTCTTCCTGAAAAGTCTTCACCACTCCTTGGGATTGCTCAAAGGTGCCCATAAAGAACAAAGAAACACTTTCCAGTACATATAGCCCAAGTAGGATTACTATATATATATATGTGATTTCTACAATGTGGTAAACCCAATGCCATAACCTACCATTTAGGACTGGTGTTTACCATCCATTTCTGGTCATACTGGGGATGCTGTATGGCTTTGAGCTTGCCACATTGCTTTAATTATAACTGTCACATCAAAAAAAACTCCATCAAAATCATTGTATGTATAAGATATTATAACATGAGCCCATATATATTTTCCTATACTCTAGTTGTAAAACTACTTTCAAATCCCCTTTAAGAAAAATAAAACTCAGAATCACATCCTCCAGGCGACCTTCCAAGGTGCTCTTGAAGCTTTCATCCGCCGTGGTTCCCTTCTCCTTCAGCGCCGCTTCCATCATGGCCCCCAACCGCACGCATGGCACCACCGGCCGGGCGGCGCCGTTGGAGGCGGGCGGCGGCACGTAAGCCATGTTCTGGGCGCCTTGGAACATACTCTGGGCGTTGCTGCGGACCACCTGCAGGAGGCCAGGGCCCCTAGGGCCCCTAGGGCACCAAAAAAAGTGGCTGAAGTCTATGGTTTTTTATGGTAGATATGACTGATATAACTTTCTTGTCTAGTCAATAAGGTTTATAAACCAACAAACAAACATCACATTTGGGGGCACCATCCTGTGCCAATTCCCTGCCAATTTCCCCGGGGAGTGAACATTCTGAGTTCTGTTGCTAAGATATACCACCATATGAAAAATCATGGACCCACCAATGTCTGTTGGTGGACTGTCCCACTTTTTGTGTAAAAGTGACAAATCCTCATTTTTGAATCCCAATTCAGGGTGAATTATAAAATTCCATTCTTGTTGCTTACATCGCTTACATCCTATTTCCCATATTTTCCTTGAAATCCCCTCCCCATTTTTCATGATTTCGCCCGCCTCCAGTGGCGGATAGTAGGGTTGAGCCTTCACCACATAGTTGCCACCCATCAACACCACCTGTCCGGCCATGTCCGCCCTTTTTCGGGGCCAAGAGTGGCCCCTTGGTTTCGATCTCTGCTTTGCTAAAAAATCAGGTGTCATCCAAGTATTTAGACAGCTTCAAGCCCAATAAATTGGGATATAACCCTTATTAACAACTTATAACTTATAACTTATAACTATGGTGACATATCAGAATTTCTGAGTGGAACTAAATTGGGAATGCATATGAATTCATTGGTATATAACGAATATAACTATGGTAAAATAACTGAAGACCTCACTATGGGGATAAAATATGATATAATTATACAAAGTGAGGCCCCTAAACGGGGGATAAAATCAACTAGTATTCATGGGGTTTATAAAACATAACTGGGAGGCCTCGCCTTGCCCTCGGATTTTATGGTAGCCAACAAAAACATCGAACAGTGACATCCTACTGAAACATCGAACAGTTTCGAGATGTTTCTTTCGTTGTTTTTTTCAGCTCACCAGCACTCCAGCTACCCCTCTAGTCCAACCGCGCAGCCAAACTTAGATCCCAACCATTTATGTGTTGCACCCTGGGCACAACCGGAAAAATCGAGGCGAAACCACCCTGGTTCTCCATCCCAGATTTCTCCGGTTTCAATGGGCCCCAATTTTGATGCTGACACCATGGTCATGGAGCTGTCTTTGTCGGTGAAATCCCCTATGTTTGCTGGTGATTTCTCACCACGAAACTCATCATTCAATCATGTTTGATAGTTATATCACCATTATAACATATGATATCACTATTAAACCATACTATAACCATACCGTTAACTTCTATTATCAAGGTTGTTTCATAGGATAGTTGTTCGATATAACATCTTATAACCAGAAGAAAAAAAAACACTGTTCATAGCTATTTCACCCTTTTACAAACCATGAAATCCAGAAAAAAAAACTACCCACCTCCTTGCCGTTGATCTGGTAGACGTCTCCCGAAATCGTCACACGCCCCTGGCACGGCGTCGACTCCATCATGGCGTCGCAGGCAGTAGCGGTGACTTTCGCGTCCCCCACGTGCGGAAGCTGAGAGGATGAGAAGCTGGAGCCACCAAAAGGACCAAATTTTTTGGGGCGATCTTTTCATGAGATACCCAGTTTTTTCTTACCACACATAGATATCAGATGATATATTTTATCTCTCTCCTAAAAATTTACCCTTGACCATATGATTTATACATGGTTGGTTTGATCATATGGAGGCTAGCACCACTTTAGAACCGACCTTACGGGGAGATGTGAACATTCCCCCACATAGGGATCAACGGGCCCCTTCTGAAAGTTTCATGCTGCATTTTTTTCAGATGAAAATGTATTGATGAAAACCTTACGGAGGCTACAGGTTTGTCTGAAAAATATGGTATCCAATGGTTTGATGCTTTGTGGTTTATAGATGTTTATAGCAATTTTCCCGTTTTTTGATGGCCATTTGGGTGGTTCTCGCCCATTTTCAGACACACCCAAATCCCATAGGTTATAAATCCCATACCATTCCTATTATATACTGTACGCTCCCATGATTTTGTTACCATTTCTGGGCTATATAATATATACATATACAAGTCGTAAACCCAGTGCCATAAACCATCCACAATAGAGCTTGATTGTTTATTTTATGATTGAGTTTACCACGAACAAGTTCGGCCCAAGTGGTAAACTCAATGACCGGCAAGTTTACAATAACAATATCCAGTGGTATACAATTACTTTATTATAATAATATCCATTTTATTTATGACTGGTAAGCCCATCATATATCCAAGTTCTTCCAGTCAACTCAGCTCCCTGAAAAGCACACCTTCCTCAAACTCTGCCTGCGAGGAAGCGAAACCATGGGTCAGAAAGGGATTTCGTTCGCCAAGTTGGTTTATGACTCATAATAAGTGTTGGTTTTCTATGGTGTATATATATATATATATATGTATGTATGTGTATATATATATATGTGTGTATATATATATTATATATTTGACATGGTTATATAATAAGGGTTATGAACCAAAAGACATAACTGGGAGGGTACCAACGTGTGTTTTTTCCATAGCCCATGAATGTGAGATAAACATCTATGATGGGTGTCTGACCGACCACATAGACAGCTGCTGGAAACCAGTTTCTCAAATTCACGATGTATTGGAGTGGAAGAAACCTATCAGAAACACTGAAATGACAATCCAGAGCCCAAATGATCACATCGTGTTTTTTTGGGCCAGCAAGCTGGCCCAGTCGAGAACATTTCGAGGAGTGGTTTACCATGGGTTTTACCTAAAAGATCCTGAAATCAGCAAAGAATACAGAAATCAGGAATTATCCGCCGAGCTCGCCTTCTGTCTTTCCTCCTGACGTTGCTTCGCAATTGCCATTTGTTCTCGACGCTCCTGCAGGGATACCTTGGGATACCTTTTTCGGGTCTGGAAGAACGATCTGCCCATGGAAAATTATTGATCTGTAATACCCTCTGGTAAACTAACATAGCTATTGAAAATGGCCATAGAAATAGTGGATTTTCCCATTAAAAATGGTGGATCTTTCCATGGTTATGTTAGTTTACCAGAGGGTAAATGAACATAGAGAACATACAGTAGATGTGGAACATGCATACCACATCATACCATTAGATCTTCGAGAATCCACGAATCATCTCAACGAGAATGGGGAAACATCGGATGGTTGAGATGCTTCAGACTATCTTTCGATGGTGAATAACAGTTCTTTGGTGCAGATGATTTGGGACCGGCATCGGAAAAAAGTTTCCCAAGTCACCTCAAGTATGGTGAAATTTCTGTGACATTCTTTCAAAGAACTTGTTCAAGGCAGGGTTACGCTGATCGCCACCACCAATGTTTTTCACGACTCAAACTCCGGCCGTGCGGCCTCATCAAACTGACGTCGCGTCTGGGCGGAGTGGGGGCCAGGGTGTGTCAGTGAGTGTGATGTGCTGCTGTCACACCATGGAGATATGGTACCCTCTGGTAAACTAACATAGCTATTGAAAATGGCCATTTATAGTGGATTTTCCCATTAAAAATGGTGATTTTCCATGGTTATGTTAGTTTACCAGAGGGTACAGTTTGGAAGCAAAAATCCAGTGTTGATGTCAATTCAGGATGTTTCACCTGACAAACAATGTCGATAAGTATCAAAATGGGATACCCTGGACCCACACGAAGATGGTCATTTTGAGTAGCCATTTTTTGAGCCAATCCCATATCGCCAACAAACCCAGCCA